TGCAGGGACACCTCGCCTCTGCAGGCAACAGGGTGCATAGGCACCCCACGGTCACGTATCGCCGGGTGTCGGGGTGCACAGCCACTCTGCACACAGCTATTGCTGCTGCTGCTGGGATGGGGGGGATGCTCTGCGCCCAAATATCGCTCCAGGGTCAGGGTGTGCAACTACTCCACATCCCAACTTCACTGGGCAACAGGGTGCATGGCCACCATCTCCTGTCCCGTGGTGCTGGGTGTACACACAACCTTGGTGCCAGGCTGCACCCACACCCAGCAGCCACGTCCCCCCGTGTCAGGGTGCGTGGCTGCACACACCAGCATCTTCCTGCCTTCAGGACCCACAGCTACGCACGGACCCGTGCATGTGTGTACACCCCTTGGGTGTCAGGGCACACGTATTCATACTTCCCTTAGGAGCTGGAGTGCGTGAACACAACCCTCAGGTGCTGGGGCACACACACAGCCATCAAGTTTTGGGGTACAGGCATTTGCGTGGCCGCGTGTCTGATGTGCAGGGGGTCACACACCACTTGTGTGGCAGGGGTGCACACACGCATAACACAGCTCTGTGGACAGAGGTGTGCACAGACACACATGGGTGATGGGTCCATGCACAGTTTTTCCTCCCTTTTTTTGAAACAGGGGAAAGCTGCTGTCTCACACCTCGGAATGGGCAGCAGCCCCTGTGCAAGACTAAAGGCATCACTGCAGGCAGCTGTTTAAAACAGGAACGGGGAGAGTTGTGGAGGGTGTATGTTGTGAGACTCTACGTGCATGTTTTGGGATTCTGTTCTTTTAAGTTTCAAATAAACTTTGTGAAGACCACAGATCATAAAGTGTCGATTATAGACAAGTTGGTTTTCTTTCTCTTCCAGGCAGACATGGGTTACTACAAAATCTATATGTTTGACCTGGTATCTTCCACACAGTTTATATTTTGTGCTAAAGCAGATGCTAAGTGGTATAGAAGTGTTTTCACCACTGTTTTTAATCTAATACAAGCAATCTATTCACTGTTATCCTTTTGTATCCACAGCCCAATCCTTGTAGCAAGAAGGCTAAGCCCATAGTTAACATTTGTAGGACAAGAACTTGCTAGCAAAGTCAAGCAGTGCCTTAAAAGACTGCATAAAAACTCTCTTTAATCAGCATTGTTCCCAGAAAATAAAAGAATTGTGAAGTGTGATGGTAGTTACACGTGTCTACATTCATTCAGTGTATATAGTTGCATTTTTATTAGTGATATTTGGGGCTTAGAACAATTTGGATCCAAAATCTGTTTCACTTGGAACAGGTATTGTAATATTGTGGGGCGTAATGTTTAAGTTAGTTAAAAGTAGATCTTTTGGATCATGGATTAATTTTGAACTGATTTGTGGTTAACGCTCATAACTCGCAGTCCAGAGATGTGAATTCAGTCCCTACTCTTCCAGAGCTAATTGTGGGTACGTACTGCCCACACAAGTGAACTGGTAATCGGTTCAGGCCTTCCTGATTTGTGGGTGTCTAAAATGACACCGGTAGTGTAGCACTGCTCTAAGGATATGGATTAAAAATAAGACCCTGGGATCTCAGTTTGGGTGCACTGCGTATCTGTTTTGTTAGAAGTGTAGATGGAGATGGATAGTCCTGTTTTCTTAGTCACTGTTCTACAATTGCTGGGTAAAAGATTTTACATAAATGCAAAGTATTACTCATTTCATTGCATTGAAAATTAACTCTGCCTCCAGTTTTAGGTGCAGTTTAACATTCAAGTCGTGGAACTCTCCTAATAGCAAAGGAATTTGTTTTTCAGTGTTAGCCCTGTAACCTCGACTTATTTTCACGAAAAAAACATCATGATTATGTCTCTCTTTCATCTCTGAAGTTTGCTGCAAGCAATAATTATCATAGAATGGTGTTTGAAATATTAATTTGCTAACTCTGTTTAATAGAGGGCAGGAAATGGCCATAGTTTACGGATCTGAGTTGAAAAAATGGGCACTGCAGGCCTGGGATGAGCTCTGTCTCTTAGAGCCACCTTTGCTGCCCGGTGAGCGTTACTGCTTGCTTTTAAGGGAGCTTTTGGAAACAACTTGGGTTTATTCAGTGGGGTTTACCTGGCATGTGGGACAGCTCGTGTTCCTGTGGCACCTGATGCAGATGTGACAACACAGCTTTGAAGTGCGTGTCCTGAGGAACGGCTGCTTAGCGCTCAGCACGGTAACGCGTTTGTGTGTTTTCTTAGGGCTAAAGGAGGCACCATTTTCAATAAATGCATCAATAAGGTATTTACCAATTACTTCTTAACATCTCGGCTGCAGTTGTTCCTCTGGTTGTTGTTGTTTCTGTGCTCTGAAGTACTTTTCCTTTCCTCCATCCCGCTTCCACAGGGTGAACCAGTTCATCGTGTTATTTTCAGACGTTAGGACTAAGAGGTGGATTGTTGAGGATTGTTGACAAACACTGCTAGCGTGAACCACTTCTGTGTGGTACAGACAGGCAGGTCCAAGAAGTTCTTTCCCCCAAAGGAAGTTGAGATTTTCTTTATTGTTATTTTTCTTGAATGATTGTCACAAACATTTGCTATCTGGAAGACAGCTTTATAGCTGAAGATTGAGAGGCGTCTTCTGGATCCCCTCGTCAGTAATTGAGGGGGAAAAGTTGACTTCTGAGGCAGGAAAACACTTCAATTTTCAGCTCTAGTGCCACCTTTTTAGTACTTCAGAGAAATATTTGAGTGTTTCAGAGAAATATTTTAGTATTTCAGAGAAATTTATTAGTACTTCAGAGAAATATTTGAGTGTTTCAGAGAAATATTTTAGTATTTCAGAGAAATTTATTAGTACTTCAGAGAAATATTTGAGTGTTTCAGCAGAAACCCCGTATCAAAAAAGAGGTAAATTGAAGGAAGTGCTTCTTAAGAGAAAGAAGGAAAAACATTTGAGCTTGGGCTTCCCTGTCATATATTGTAAAGAATCAGTTAAATACGTCAGCGTTTTTGTCCTTCTGCACAGTTTTTGGTGATTGAGGGCTCTTCTGTCAGCTGGAAAAAAAGAGTAATTCCTTAAATACATCATTTTTTAACAGCACGGTTATCAATTGTCGTGTTTTGTGGTTTTCTGTGGTGTGAAGTGAAGCGGTGTTATTTTGGAAGTGTATTTGCAGAAACTGCAGAAAGACCAGATAAAAAAACACAGTGAAATTCTTCGGTTTCAAAGAAAGGGAATTGTGAGTTTGGACAAAGAAGATGGATCTGTACCCCTGCTTAGCACGATTGCCAGAATTTGGAGTTGAAATATTTGCAGCTGTTGGTTTCCTGCCACTTGCAATTTTTCCCCCCCCAAAAAATCTTCCCAAATTAGGCTTTCAGTATATTTTGTCTCTTGAAAGATGCCCTATTTCACTTCCCCTCTTTGAGGACTACATTGAAGCAACATTCAGCAGTTGCTTTTCTGTTTCCACTATAGAACTGTTATGCACACTGTCTTTTTGCTCTTTTTCACTCTTGTCTGTACATCAGGACAGGCCCAGCCTTCTTGAGCAAAGACACTTGCTTAAAAAGGAGATAAATAGGCAGCAAAAGCAGCTATCATCATAAAGAATAGAAGAAGGGAGCGTATGGTTAACTGTTCAGCTCTGCATCTAGTAAAATGCTTTGTGAGAGGGTAAATCTCAGCGGGGCAGGAGCTGCCTTTACCTTGCTAGGAGGTGGCTCAGTGGAAAGTTTTAGTAGCAGATGTGTATGTAACTGTGTGTTACGGTACTGTTCGCATTGAACTTGATTGTGGCTGTCTTTCTTGTGACAGTGTAATGTTCTTGTTGATATACAGGGGGCTGGGATCTTCAGCTAGCAGACCTCGTGAAGACAGCTGGTTAAAATCGCTGTTTGTTCGCAAAGTCGATCCAAGGAAAGATGCTCACTCCAACCTTCTCGCCAAAAGAGAGACCAGCAGCCTGTATAAACTACAGAGTGAGTGATAATTTATAGTTCACGTTACTGTTTCTTTACTCTGTTCCTGCATCTCTCACGTAACGTTGTTGTTGTTTCAGTTCACAATGTAAAACCTGAATGTCTAGACGCCTACAACAAGCTTTGGTAAGTGTGCGTGTTATGTTTTCACGTTTTAGACGTGTTGATTTGACAACAAGCTGTTCTGAAAATTCACAAATTATTTAGAGGGGAGGTGGAAAGATTCTGCTTTTGCTTTCAGGGTTTGATGTTAAATAAATCATACTGTTCTTGGAGAGAAGTGGCAAAAGATACTTCGCTCAGTTCACCCCCTGCCTTCCTTCTTGGAGGTGTCATTTTCCTAAGATGCAATTTAGGACGATGCCTTTTGTGGAAGCATTGGTGACAGTTGTTGGAACAGCTCTTCCCCTTCCCTGAGTTGTCTTACGATTGCTGGTCCACGTGGGTAGATCTTGGTAAGCTGGGCCTGTAGGAATCTGGGGAGGGTTCTTATTGTCTCTTCAAGAGCTGTGCAAATCCTTGGATAGGATCTCTGCACTGGGGTGATACCCTCCGAAGGGAGCAGTACTGTTAAGGACTTTCCAGAAAGTTACAGCTTTATCAAATGTCTGTATGGTAACACTTTAAATTTACTAATTTAAGGATGAAATTGCAGAAATGTTAGTCCTTTTTCTGCCTATGTAATCACTGCTCTGGAGCCAGAACAACTGCCCTTTCAAGAACCGAATGTGTCGATGTGGAAGTGTAGTGAGCTGCACGTTTCAAACCAGCAATGCTTTCTCCCTGACAGTGATCACGGTGGTGGCAGTTGTCAGTTCAATGGAGCTTTCTTAGCATAATGATACCCTGCTGCAACCAGTTTTTAAATTGTGGTGTATTGGTGAGAACCAGCTGGGCTGGAGAGTGGGGAAGAGGTTCACAACCCCCAGTTTATGTCCTCAGCTCTGTCAGTGATTCGCTGTACAGCCATGAGTAGGTCACCTAACGTCCCTCTGCCTTCATGTGTCCAGCTTTGAAATCAGGCTAGATAACCCAGAACTGTTTTCCTTGCTATATAAACACAGAAATCCACTAGAATAACATACAACCATCAGGTATTTTTAACTCTTTTGTTTAAAAAAAAATACACAGAGAAGCACAATTAGCATTCGGGCACCTTTCTGTTTAAAAGCTTAATAGGAACATGTCCAGTTATACAAGACAGGGAACCACTGCTCTGTGTTGTCTCAGGAGCTGCCTCTAAACGTTGACTGAAAGCAGAGGCTTCTGTTTTCAACAACAGGGGCAATAGCAAAGAAAGAAGCTGCTGACAGCAGTCAGATGAAGTATGTGGGGTTAGAGTTATTCTTTCCAAAGCAGGTTTAAGTATTCCAGGGAAGGAGAAAACCTCAGAGTAGAGTAATAATAAAAAACCCCTAAGCCTCTCTAACTTCCCTCTTTCTCTCCCTGAATTAAAGATGAACAGGTTAATGCCTTGTTCTGTGTCAAATCAGAATAAGGATTAGTCATCCTGTATTAATAAAGAATCTAATGAAGGTGATTGTGAGAGTACTTCATGAATCACTGTGGTTAAGGACTCCTTTTGAAGAATTAGGAACAGTTGTTCTTAAAAAGGAAAAGGACGGTGTTCATGGGTTTTCTAAGGTATTCTGTATTCCTATAATTTAAAAAATATATTTTGGGGTTATTGTAG